TCCCTCCCTCTCTTTTTTCTTCTCCCCTCCCTCCCTCTCTTTTTTATTTCTTCTCCCCCCTTCCTCCCTCTTTCCTCCCCCTCCCTCCCCTACCTGTGTGGTAGTGTGGCCGAGCCCTCTATTGGTCCGACCGGTACAGGGAGCTGTTGTTTCCTGTACCCGGCCGGACTAACAGGAAGTGAACACTCAGTGTTCACTTCCTGTTAGTCCGGCCGGGTACAGGAGACAGCTGCTCTCTGTACCGGTCGGACCATGCCATAGAGAGCTCGGCCACGCTACAGAGAGGGAGCTGACAGGTGGGAGGGCTGAGCGCTGAGCGCTTCCCTCCTGTCAGCCCCTCTCCTCAGGCTGCGCCCGGGCGGTGCGGTCCGCCCTCATGGACGCACCGCCCGGGCAAAGCTGCAGCCGCCTGAGGCTCTTTACAGAGCGCTCGGGCGGCTGCAGCATGAGCTAGATGGAGTGCTGAGCAGGTAATCCTTCAGTCACAGGGGAGTGAGACACAAAAGGTGTGAAAAACAGCAATGCAGAGGTAACAGCAAGTTAGCACAGCCACACTGAGTCCCTAATGAGATGGACGAGGCAAAACTAAGATGGCCGCGTGAATCTCGCGATGTCCGCGATCCTAAATGGCGGCCGCGAGTGTAGGCCGCAAGCCGGGGACTAAATTTTGAGGCCGGCCGCGGGCGGAAGCAGGCCGGCGCGAAAACGGCCGCAAACGATTCCGGCCGCAAGGAGGGAGCCCAGGAGGGCACTCCAGGATAGGGGGGCAGTGGGGGGACCTGGGGAGGCCCAGGGAGGGTCCCAAAATGAACAGAGGGGCAGATAAGAGGGTAGAAACCCACAGAGAGCCCCTAGTCCCACAGCCCAGTACAGAACAGAAATAAAAGGAAATAAATTAAAGTAATAATAGTGATAATAACAATAGAATGTAACAAATAGATAATGACAATAAATGTATAAATGTATAAAGCTCCAGAGGAGCAGATATTCTGACCTGTCTGCGATGGAGCAGTAAAGAAAGAGGAAGTGTACAGGCAGCATGACCCTTATATACTATGCTGCTCAGTGATTTATTTGTTACTCTTTACGTTTTTCTTTACTGCTGTGGAGTTTAGTAAAGAGAGTTAATGCAAAATAGGAAGCCTCCTGTCATGTTATAAAATTCTTGCTTTAATGTATAACCCTGATTGGTGTTGCCTTAAAACAATCATGGTGTCTAATTCGTGTTTACTGTTCGCTCATACTTAGTTTGAAGGTCACTATTACATGACAGTAGGAAGCCAATAAACCAGGTAATAGAAAATACCATCAATCCAGTATGGACCTCTTGGTGATTGGGAAATTACCCCATGT